GGTTAGGGCACATACAGCAAGTATATTTGACAGGTATAGCCGCCACTCCTCCCTCCTTAATGGCAGACACCAATAGGAACTTCTTTTCTTATTGCTAGGAGTGTAGGTAACAACTTTAAGTAGCCATTGGACACCAACAGGAGCTTCCTTCTGAGTTTCTGACTTTCCAGGTCATATTGAAGCGTATCACTGTGTGTGACAGTTGTGTAGCTTGGTCTGTTTGTGGGGCTACTAGTAGTGGAATCAGGATCTGTCCCTGACACTTGAGCTGGCTTTTAGGAACCCATTCCCCATGCTGGGTTGCTTTGCCCAACCTTGATGCAGCGGAGGTTAGTCCTGCCTCAATTTAATGTGCCATGCTTTGTTGGCACCCATAGGGGGTCTGCCTCTTTCTGACTTGGAGACACAAGAGGATCAGAAGAGTGGGGGTAGAAGAAAGGTGGGGGGAAGGAACAGGAAGAGAAGAGGGAGGGGAACTCTGGTCAGTATGTAAAATAAATGAAAAAAATTAATAAAAAAAAGAAAAGTAAAAGAAAGGAAAGAAATGCACTCACAAGATTTGCGGTTGGCCCTGGAACGCTTTCTCTCCCGTGGCACCACTCGCTGACTGGGCACTTGGGTGGCCGATTTGACAATACGGTCCATGATCTCATCAGCTGCATCATCAGTGACATTAGGTGACTCATCGGTTCCCATGTTCCATGAGCTAGTGGATCCTGAAAGATTAGACAGCCAGAGAATGCCATGTGCTTACAGAGAAGAGAAGCAAAAGAAGCAAAACGTTGTTTTTGTGGAGCTGACATCCATCAGAGGTGGATTCCCACAAGGACCTGTGATAGCAGAGTTGGTGACATGTACGGGATGCTGGCCCGTCCCCACCTGTGCCTGCTATCCTGCCAGTGCTGTGGAAACCTGAATTGGGATATTTATTTTGTATTTTCTTACAACACAGCTGTGTTCCTGTCTCTTGTTAATATCTCTCTCCCTCTCTCTTGTGTCCGCCATTAATACCTGCAGGTCCTATGATCACCTGGGGGCAAATGACCTAAGCCAGATGCTACATAGCACAACCGTGGCAGCCAGCAAGGTACATCCAAGGCAAGGAGAGTCCCTGAGGTATTGCTGAATCAGCTCCCCATCAGTAGCTGTATGTACCTAGTCAATGTCACTAATAGCACTCTCTTCATGTTAAACAGAAACCAAGCAGCTTTATGATGCACACTTTATGCTGAGATTACCTCTAAAAAACTGAAAGGGGATTTCCCTCTTCAATCAGCAGCAGGGAGCACTCGCACAGTTTGTCTTTGAAATACCTCTCTGCTCCTCGACAAGAAAATGTGTTTTGTGAATAACTAAGTGTTAAGGCCATCCAAATCTGTCCTTCAGCCATGCTTCTCTTTGCTGTGGATACTTAGGGATGGGTAGTACTGTTGATTTAACTACCTCACAGATATGTTAAGGCATATGGGGGTAAATCTCAAAAACTTTCTCAGTCTTACTAAATGCTCAGAAGAATCGGGCCTCTGTACCACAAGTGTGATGTTCAGCATTATATTCACAGCGAGCTTGGATAATTAAACTGGAGAATTAAACTAGATTTTGAAATTATTGTACAATTTAAAGACTGTCTTTTTTAGTGCCCCCCCTTTTCAAGTATTTCAAGTGACCACATTTTAATAAATCCCAAAGTGGTAATGAGGCCGCTGCAGAGGGGAGGATGACATAAGTTTTAGATGCTGAGAGACACTTTTAAAATACCTCAGGCTAATTACTGTTCATTTGGGGGAAGGAACTTTTCTTCACAGAGTATAATAATTCATATAATATTTCCTTTATTTTGAAAATGATTGGTTGCTTTCTCTTAGATGGTTTGTGCTATTTTCTGTAATCATAGTTCATCTAAACACAGCTTATTTTCTTGACCATTAAAGTTTGTAACCTAAGGATAGACTCCCACTTTCAGTGAAGTGAATTTAAGGAGCTAGCACAGTCTTTCCCTCCCTCCCTCTTCCTTAGGAAGTAGCTGTTGCCAAAGTGATCAGGTAGCTGGTGGTTCTTATATAATGGGAATGTGCTTTGTGGACGGACACATGGGGGTCAGTGTACATTATGACATTTGGTTGCTCCCCAAATGGTTCTACTCCATTCTAGAAGTCTGAAATGTGTAATTTGAAATCCTCAATAATATCAGTTAGAACCCAATAGTAATTTAACATCTAGGACCATGGCCTTTGTGGCAGATTAATGTCCTTGTGAAAACTCTGGGATGATGAGGGGCTTCTTCAAAAAGAAAGATACAGGGGTATCTCATACTGTTCAGTTCTATTCTTTTGTGTTTGTTTTTGTTTTTAGAGACAGGGTGTCTCTGTGGCTTTGGAACTGTCCTGAAGCTAACTCTTATAGATTAGGCTGGTCTCGAACTCACAGAGATCCACCTGCCTCTGCCTCCTGAGTGCTGGGATTAAAGGCGTGGGAACTACCACCCAGGCCAGCTATATTCTTTAAACTTCATTTTGTAGTAAATGTGTAGTTTCACAGACCCTGAGGATAGAGCTCTCAAATTCAAAGCCACTGATCCCCAGCCTGAGTGAGTCCCAGCTGAAGCTAAAGAAACGCCAGCTTGCAATTCTGAAAGTGGGTAAATGATTTTTTTAAATGTTTTAAAAAAATGAATATTAAATATGTTAATAAATATGTATTTACCTCTTCTTTCATAGTGTTATATTTAAACTTGTAAGGCTTATAAGCACCTTGCTATTAATGATCTAGAATTTTATTGAACTATATGGGAACAATGTTTAGTAAACTATGATATTTCTGAGTGAGCGTGTTAGGGGATGTCCATCCATGCGCAAGTGTGTGTGCTTGAAATCTTGCTGTGAATATGGGAGAGGCTGAGGGCAATGTCTTCAAGTGGCCAGGGCTGTTATAATTGTTGACACAGCTTTTAAAGTCTACTTTGCTTAGCTTCCTCAGGGGCATACCTACAACATCTTCATGTGGACAAAGACTAACCATCCCTGCTGCTTATAGCTAAGGGAACCTGTTTGCTCCTATCAGAAGGCCACCTTTTCTTCCATCATTATAAACCATTCTTAAAAACAGGCTCTTCCCTGAAAATCACCTTTTTAGAGTTGTTGCTGAGTTTCTCTGTGCTCTCAGAAGGGTCTGGGTGCTACAATGGGAGGCCAGAGGCCCCATGGTTGACCCAGCTTTCAGACTGGACCTCAGTCTCTATGACAGTGGCTGTCCTCAGGGGAGAGCTATCAACAGCAAGACTGTCTTTCAGGTAGCAATCTCCTGATTCCCTTTCACCTACTAGTTTATAATTCTGTGTCTTATCTTGAAATCTAAACTACCCTTCACAAACCACACACGGAGAGCTCCATCAGTTCCAGTGGATCCTGATATACTTGCAGAGCACTGCGCAGAAGTGGAGGAATTTAGAGACCCACCCCTCTGAGAATCACCAGCATCTCCCATACACATGTCCCCAGTGATCTGTTTCTAATGTAGCAGCCAGGAGAAGCCTAAAGGTCATCTGTAGACATTGGTCCAGCACTATCAGGCTGTTCTGCAATGACTTTGTTCTGGAATCGATTTCTGGTTTGCATCTTCTCTTTTCTTGGCCACTGTGTTTGCTACCTGGTCACCACTTGTTCTCATTCTTTCTGCTATACATGGTCTTCTTAGGACCACTGCACCCCCATGCAGACATTGGGGAAATACTTCCATGACCTCTCATACAGCCAAGGGGTCAGGAGATTCACTGCACTGTTTTGTTCCAAGACATTTAGATATAGTAGAGGGCTAAAGCAGTGTGGACCATAACAGCACAGTATCACTTTATCGTCACTTCATCCCTCATGCTATAAGAGATGCGGTCTTATTGGAAGTGGTGTAGCCTTGTTGGAAGACATACGTGACTGGCTTTTTTTTTTTTTTTTTGAGGTTTCAAAGGCCTAAAATAGGCCCAGTCTCTCTTCCTCTCCCTCTCCCCTCTCTCTTCTACCTGCCATCTTTGAGTCAGGATATAAAGCTCTCAGCTGCTGCTCCGGTGTCATGCCTGTCTGCTTCTCAGAGTGATGATCATGGACTAACCCTCTGAAAACTGTAAGCAAGTCTCCAATTAAATACTCCCATCTCTAAGAGTAACTTTAGTCATTGTGTCTCTTCACAGCAATAGAACAGTCTTGAGGCTCCTTCATCAGTGAGTAAAATATAACCCACATAGTACAAACCTGGCAATAATTTTTATCTTGGTCCCTTCTAGTCCAGAATAGATGTCTAGTTTCTTTTAAGAGTTGTACAGCATAGGACACTGAAATGGCTCCAAGGGAAAAGGAGCTCACCACACAAGCCTGACAAGCCAAGCTCAATCCTAGAACCCACATAAAGGTGGGAAGATAAAACTGACTCCACATACACATGGTAATATGCCAGCAAAATTAAAAAGAAAACACACACACACACACACACACACACACACACACACCAACAACAACAATAGTAAATATGTTTGGAAAGCCTCAGTATTGTGTCCCTCCTAAGATGGCTTCCACTGTACCATCTTTACATCCAGCCAGTAACAGCCTTCTGTAGGAGGATGCATAGCTAAATCAGCACTGAGAGTACTGGGAACTTGATGGCTCCTCACATACACTCTCTGGACACAGTAACCTACAAACTGCAATGGAGACCATTTTTACAGGGTGGCCTACCTGCAAAGACAAGCCCCGCCCAGCAGAAGTTACCTCGGCTTGCCCGGCTGCGAGTTCGGACACCAAGCACAGGGGTTGCGTCCTCCACAGCAGTAGATGATGTTTTCAAGACAGCCTTCATGTTCTCATGCTCAGCTGCATCCTCAGCATAGCTCAGACCCTGTGGCTGGCTTGGTGTTGCAGGAGAACTGCCAGAGAACTTGCCAGACTGGAAAACCAAAGTGATGTTAGGAAGTGAGGGAACACTCGCCAAAGGGGCCACCAAGTTCTGTTTTGAGGAAACATTCTCTCCTTTGGTTTCTCTTTGTTTGTGTATACTCGCTATATTCTGGAGTTCTGTCAGTCATAGAGAATGCAAACAAATGGCAGATATCTCTCTACAGGAAGATCTAACACTAGAAAGAGAAGCATCTGGCCCCAAAAGGACCTTCACCCATCCACCCTTCACTGTAGTGGCTGCCACCCAGGGGGAAAAGAAATTAACTCATCAAGTTAACTGGCATTGACTTGCCCATCAATTCTTGAATGTCTTGAACTTCATTTTCTAAGCTAATGCTGAGGATTCTTTCTTTATTTATTTAGAGACAGAATTTCTCTGTAGCTTTGGAGCCTGTCCTGGAACTTGCTCTATAGATCAGACTGGCCTCAAACTCAGAGATTGGCCTGCCTCTGCCTTCCAAGTGCTGGGATTAAAGACATGAGCCATCACTGCCTGGTGAGGATTCTTGTAGATCTAACCTCATCTCACTTCTGGGGAAAAAAACAAACAAACTGAAACTCTCTAAGAATAAGTGGCTTTGCCAGAGGTCCCAAAGGTGTTGAACGCCAGGCCACAGGACAGATAAAAATTTATGCCAGACAAATTTAAGCTGAAACTGAATTCAGCAATATTACTTTTAGTTTTGCCAAAAGTGCAGGTGCTTGCTGTAACAAGCATTTAAAACGCAAGCTGATTTTCTCAAAAAAAAAAAAAATGCAGGGCATATATGTTTTCAAGAGATGTTCTAGAACTCTATATTGAGTTCTATATGCACACAATGCTCACATCTAAGTGAAGAGCAAGATGGTGAACACGGTATTGAACACGGACCAAGATCAGCCCCAAGTTTTTGCTTCCCAGCCATAGCTACAGACTTGTGACAAATCATTGACTTATGCTGTCTATGCTTCTCCTTCTTCAGTCCCTAGGATCAGCCATCACTGCTTCCTTTACTTCCTGACTCTAGGATTCTCTATATATTTACTCTGGTTTGGTTTTGATGCTGTGGATCAAACCCGGAGCCTTGTACATGCACAGTGAGTGCTGTACCACTGAGCCCCATCCCCAGTCCGATTCTACTTTGTTTTGTTCCTTATGTTGTTTTGTTTGATTAAAAAAAAAGTCCTTATTATGTCAGTCTGGTCTGAAACTCACAATTCTCCTGCCTCAGCTTCTCAAGTGCTGGGGTCACAGACATGCACCACTGTGCTCAGCACATACACAGCTGAGCTACAGCCCAGTTCTCATGCTTGGGTTGTAAAAAGCACAGAGAGTGGATGGAAGGGAAACTCTTTGTCCAGTTATCCAGCCTCATGGAAAAGACTCACTGAACCTGCTCTTGGTGACAGGGAACTGATTAGTCCTGGCTTAGGGACATTGGAAAATGCAATTAGTTCCTCACTCTATGGGCACAAAGAGCATAACAAGAACTGATCAGATGGTTAGTGACCACATGGAAACCAATCAGAAAATCTCCATGCACAGTTTCCAGTGCTAAGTGATGCTGACACTTCATGCTGACTGTGTTAGGTTATTCTACAGCACACGGGAGAAGGGCAAAGATGGTACTGTTCACATTCATGAATTGTCATACCTCAGTGTCATCCTCGTCATCAGTCTACCCGAAAGGACAGGACAGGACAAGATGGGAAAGACAGAAGGATTCTTAGAAGGCACAGAAGTCAGCAAAGAGGAGATAATCTCAACAACAGATCACATCCCCAAAACAGAAAGTAGTCACTATCATCAGGGCACATCAGGGATATGAAGACAAGTCAGAAGGTGCCGGGTTCTCTCCCCTGTTGTTACTGGGTGGTTTGCTCTGTGTGTTCCAAGATCTCACTGAGAGGAGACAGGAAGTACTTGAAGGGCTTCAGGTGGTCTTTCTCCCAAAGACACCCATGAGATCAGTAATTGGCTTCCCTGATCACTACTAACCTTATCTTCTACACTCTCCATGCACCTATGTCTGTCAGGCCCACCACCACCTACTACTGACTTCCCAAGCTTCAGTAAGGGAACCAGTCTTCATTCACCTGGCTGTGCCCATCAGCAACCTTTTCCTTTTATCATAAGTTCTAGACTCTCCCCTGCCTAGCCTGCAGGGCCTAGGCTACAGTGTACCCTTCTACACAGAGACCACACACGACTCATGAAAGTTCCCAAGCACAACATACTATACTACCCTCTCCTCAGATACATGAAATTAAGCTCTTTGTAGAATTCTGCCAGTCCTCAAGGTAACCACCAGAAGTGACACTGTTCTCACAATTATCAGTAGATGCACTTTGAAGACCCCTCCTCTAAATACAAAGTAAGTATGAAAAATCATGCCAATATCTTGATTTAAATCCAGTATACTTGTATATTTTGGCAGAGGTTAGAGGCCAGGCCAACAAACCAGGCTTGACTTTTTGCAAACTGACTGTATTTTTGGAATGTAAGATAACAAGGTACTCCACTCAAATGGCAAGAGACCAGGCCTCTCTATCATCCTTCTTGTTGAGTGGATTATCAGTATAGCCAGGATGTCTGTCATTTTTTTCACCAGGTATATGCTGTTAAACAAAATTCTATGTTTTGAATCTCCAGCCTCCTGAAGCTCTTAAAGTGCCATCGGTCCCTTTCTATAGAAGAGGAAGTCAGGGTTGAAAGGTGAAGGGTCTCACAATAGGGTCCTTCTTCCCTCTGCAATGGAGTACTGTGACTTGACAGTCTAAGTCCCCATAAGCCATTTGGTTTATGATAGTTGTTGGGGGCACAGCATGAAGATCCTTGCACCCACAGAACTCCAGAGAAACTAGGAATGTTAACCATACAGAATTGTCTTTCCAATGGAAAAGATATAAAAAACCTGTTCTTCCACCCAGAAAGGGGGGAAATGAAAGTGATTAGTAGCCCAGTGATTTGTGTTATCTGTTGGGCCAGACCAAATCAAGCTCCTACAACCAGGACCAGAAGTGACTAGTAATCTAAATGACCCTTACATCCAGGGGCTCTCCAAACTCCCACAACCAGGACCAGAGAGTCATAATAGTCTAAATGACCCTTTTATTAGCTGTATAGCCGGAGGCTCTCCCAAGGTAGACAGTAGCCCAAATGACCTCTACACTATCTGTATCCCCAAGACCATGACAGAACCTTCCCTAGGCCCTTAAACTAGCACAGGTAGCCTATCTCTAGAACTCATCTTCTTGGAGGAAATGACATGTACCTGAGTTGAGTTTCAATGTAATTATACTTTCCTGTACACTGGAGATTGTATTACACCAGGAAACTTTTTCTGAATGATATCATGCTTAAATTTGTTGAGAATAAACTACCTGCTATCAGACTCCCTGAAGTCTTCATCTAGGTTGACAACATCAATCTAAACTCAGCTTTCATTCTCATCTCTTTGTGGTTCGCTTCCCACTTGGACAACTTTGGGGTGCCCCTCTGGTCACTATTTATCTAGAACCAGGCTAGGGCACAAAGATGAAGAATGAGGTCTACACAGAGCCATTCATGGAAGGACCCCAATGGGATAGAGGCCCATTGCATACTCAGAAGGCATACAGGCCTCACGGACCAGAGAAGGCAGGCTCCAGAGCTCCTCCTCCAGACTTCTCACTTTAAGTTACCACCACACTATCCTATTTATTTTCTATCTACATTAAAAATGGGCCTCTACAAAATTCTCTAAAATGTTCAGGGTTCCGAGACTCTGTATCTATTGTGTGGCTTTGGTTTCAGTGATGTGTATGCCATTTTTTAAACCAGATTGTGTCATCCCTGGGGGACTACCTTGCCTCTCACTGGACACACATCAGTCCAGGCACCCTAGTACTGGGTGAACGGCAAGCCCTTTCTATCTCAGAGTTGGGCAAATGTTCGGCCTTAGTAGCAATATTGTAATACTCCAGAAGGTGGCAGGCTTTCCACACAAATACTACCTTGACCTCAACTAATATGGACTAAGTTAAAAGCTAACTTTGAAGGAATCTGTCCTGTCCAGATTTTAACAGAAATTTAAATACTTTTGAATCACACTCTAGATACTCTGTCTCCCAGAGAGCCAAATGTCCTCAAAGAAGGATAAATTTAAAATAGTAGGATCTGTTAAAAAAAAATTCTCAGGAATTTGGCAAGAAATTTTAATGTGTTTTCCTAACTATAAGCATATTGGACTTGTGTTGTTTGCCTTACAATATGTCTAATTTCCACAAAAATAAATGATGCCTTTTTAAGACTTTTAAAAATAACACATTGGAATGAAATGTAGGTCATAGTTTGCCCAAGTGGGTCCAATTTGCTTTCTGAATACCCCAGAAGGCCAAAGCTCCAAGGGAACCAAGGAGACAGAAGATCCTGGCTGATGGCACTAACAGTCAGTGCTGTGAAGAGCTGCAGATCAGCCCTTCTAGGAGAAACTGGTACCCTGCCCTCTAGAGTCACAAAATGTCCTAAGGAAGTCGGTTTGGGTAGAGATGGATGATAAGGAGACTGGTAGTCTCTGACTCTTCTTAGAATTATCTTTTAAGTACAAACCATCTTGTAGTCAAGTGTATTGGGCACTCACAGGAAGTCGCAGGCCTGCCTCAGGAATGCTTACTCGTAGCAGTAACCACAGTCCCCGTTGTGTCTGCACGGTAAACACTCCCCTGGCCACAGATGGCAGCCTCCATAAGGTCTTAATTGATTTCCATCTTCTGCAGAGACATCTGCCTGACTTGAGTCAGGCTGAGGCTTAAGCCTCTGGAGTGATGGCAGTCCTGATGGCTTAACCCTTTCCTCCTTCCGTTCCCCTTCCTGGGAAGCTCTGAGATGCCAAATACTTGCACAGGTGGGAAAAGTTCATGGGAACTAATCCAAACAAGGGGAAAAATTAACATTGAGGAGATCTTCAATAGGTTCTAAATATGGTCTAACAGTTCCAATTCCCTATTCCTCACAAACCTATTCAAATACAAACAAGTAGAGAAGAAAAGGAGGATTCCCTGAAAGGGAGAATTCCAAGAATTCTTCATTTATTTCTAAAGCAAATGTATAGCATACTGGTAATAATGCATGTGATACCAACCTGACTGGTATGTTTCACAAAAGCACATCAGGAAGGGGCCATGCACTGGCCTTTGTCAGTCTACAGCACTGCCCTGCGTGCTTTCAAACACATCCCTTCAAAACTGGGGAGCTACTTATGATTTGTCTTACTTTGAAAAGCTATGACATGAAACAACTGAGTTCATGGAACTTACATCAGTGATCATCTTCCCTCTTGTCTTGTTTCTCTCTCTGTGGTTGGCCCGCTTCTGTTTCTGCTGCAGAACCCTTTCCCTGGTTGTGCGATACTCTAGTGCAAATTCACTGATGATCCTGCAGAACTTGTTGATGTTCACCTCTCGAATTGCATAAGGGGGATGGCCCATGAAGAGCAAAAAGGAGTGAAATCTGCAAAAAAAAAAAAAAAAAGGAAAGAAAGAAAGAAAAAAAAAACAATAACTTTGCTTTTAAGGAACCAAAATTACTTGTGTAAAATTTTTCTATAAGAATCACTGAGCTCAGCTTCCTGTGAGAGAGCCTTCTTCATTCCTGGGCCTCTGAAGTCAAGAGTCCTCTTGAGTAAAAATAGAAACAAAGGTCAAGGCCATTCACTTTCTCATCTGAATGGAAGTCTAGGTGGTAAGATTTCAGATTACTTTCTTGTTTGTTTGTATATTTGTAAATGAATCTGTCAAGTTTTGCAGGAAAAAAGACCAAGTTGTATCTTATGGAAACAGGCACAATTTCTAGATTAGGTAAGAACTGAATGGTAACAGAGAACTGTTTTAAATCTCCTAAGTAGCTCTTGGAATAATTGTGAATGTGTGTGGATAATATATTTTTTTTTAAAAAAAAAAAACAGGTTCTAAATAGGTACTTACAAAGCTTTTCTAAGAATTTTGAAATATTTTTCTTGTACTATTATATGTGCAATCTTAATTTAATTAGGATATTCCAAATAAATTGAATAAAAAATTATTTCAGCTACTATGTTTATGAGTTAAAAAATTACTAAGCTGAACATGGTGACAACTGCAGTGGAGGCAGAGAAACTGTGAGAGTGAAGCAAGCTATCACTAACAAAGTTATTAGGTTCTATTCATTTTATAATACACACATTTTTGGGGGTTCCTAAAAGTGAGAAATAAGACAGTAAAAAATAGGGAAAATTTTGGGTGAAAAAGAGTAGGACTTAACTAACACCATTATCTATAGACAAACCTCTTGGTTCTGATCATTCTAACTTGTGCAGTTTGAACATGGATGGGATCTGTTTTTTAATGAATGACACTTCGATTCCATTTTGTAAAACATAACAGACTAAGACATGTAAATTGTTTTTAAAGTAAAGGGGGCTGAAAATGCTAAACAACAACAAAACCAAAAAAAAAAAAAAAACCTCAAGAAAGCCCTCAGAAGAAAACAAAATATAAATATCCATGACTTTGGCTTAGATGTATTTTTTTTAGATATCATACCAAAAGCATAAGCAACCAGTAGAAAACATGAATGGAACATTGCCACAATGACAGCCTTTTGTGTTTCAAAGGACAGCAACAGTAAAAGCACAACTTTCAGAATGGGAGACAGTATCTGCAAATCACACATGCAATAAGGCACTTTGGCCCAGCATAGACCGAGACCTTACACATCTCACAGTTCAAGCTTGAGAAACAGAAAGATTTGAACAGACATTTCTTGTTTTATAAAAAGACATACAAATAGCCAAGAAGTACATAAAAAATATTCAAATCTTTGTTCTTCCCAGGTAGTGAGATTGATGACTACCTTGTATTGTATGCCACCCTAGAGCCTTCATCCAATCCAGTAGCTGATGGAAGTAGAAGCAGACACCCACAGCTAAACACTGAATTGAACTCCTGGAATCCAGTTGCAAAGAGGGAAGAGTGATGAGCAAAGGGGTCAAGACTGAGCTGGTGAAACCCACAGAAACAGCTGACCTGAACAAGGGGGGCCTCATGAGCCCCAGACTAATGGCTGGGAGGCTAGCATGGGACTGATCCAGACCCCCCTAAATATGAGTGTCAGTGGGGAGGGCTTGGCCATCTATGGGACCTCTGGTAGTAGACCAGTATTTATTTCTAGTGTATGAATGGACTTTGGGAGCCCATTCCATGTGGAGGGCTAGAACCTCAGCCTGGACACAAGGGGGGGGGGCTA